TCAGCAACTCTGATTGATATCAGTCGAGAGGCTGCTGACTTACTCTGCTCGCAGCCTCCCCATTTCTGGGATAGAGGGGATGCTTACCTGCCCATTAGGTGGAGCACTGTAGTGGCTAACTATGGCGAGTATACTGTTGACTATTTCCATTGTATGTTGAGTTAGAAAATAAAAAAGAAAAAAGTCACAACAGTGACAAGACTTTCTTTCCAACCTAATATATGTTATTGAACTTTTCTGTAAGAGTTTTCATTCCAGAACGCACGAAATCAAATCCATTCGCTGAGTGAAGTTTCTTCATGTAACCTACGAGTAATTGTACTCACTTATGCACTCTGTTCTCATCCCAGCTATAAACGCAAGGTGAAGGAAAATCAGGAAATTGTTTGCTATAGCACACATGATGGTGAACAAGCGAAGCCAAAGTCTCTGGTGCTTATGGAGGAATATCATAAAAACACCTTCAAAAGGGTAAGTTCAAGGTTTACCATAAACTTCTATGAGGTCTTCTCTTACCATTGTGGCCAATGATGCCCCACTTTGCCGGTGTCGCGATAAGCTGCCTTTGCAGGGAGTCTTCTAACTTGTTCACCAGAAAAATTAAATTGAAAAAGTACAGAAATACCTCAATTAGAATACGCTGCTACATTATTAGCATAGAGTAGCTGCTATTACACCCCTAGACAGGGTTTTAGGGTTCTAGGATGGTCAGTCTGTACGCCACCAATTACAAGTGTTGTGAGTTTACTTGTTTGCTGCCAGTTTTTTCAGTGTTGTTGAGACGAAAGGCCTAAATCTGAGGTCAGGAATTCAACTGAACCTTCTAACACTTGTACAAATTCAAGTGGTCTCAATAGGGAGGGGGGGGTCTCGGCAGTTTGTTCAGCCTTGCTCTTCACTGTTGGACCAACACTAACGCGTTCGCATTTTGACCCCATCACCCATGTTGGCTATTGCGAAATGTGCTTGTATGAATGTAAGTTGTAATGAGGCAATCGTGTCATATTAGTAAGTTCCATGTCATGATCAACGTACGACCTTGTCATTCATCTAGAAGTTGTCCGTTCTAGGAATACGCTCTTGGTCCGGATAGGCCACCTGTAGATATGGAGCATATGGAGCGTGTGGAAAAGGCTATTGAGAAGATACAACAGCAAATTCAGAACAAGGAGAAACTGTTGAAGCTTGCTGGCCAAAAGCTGTAGGTGCTTCAAATTAGTTGTTTTAGTCTTTTAGTCTAAATAGAAGTCTAAATCTAGAGCAGGCATACTACTTGTAAGGCCTTTTTCATGTACAGAACCACTGAAGTGTTGCGGGAAGCGTGTAATACGTGTACAGATCGTTTACGACGATTTTGCGGTTTCTGAAACTTTTCCCTACTCCAAGGGTTCTTTGATCTTGAACGACGTTGTGTATGAGTGCACCCTAGCGAAATTCTTTTCGAGAGAATCAAGAACGAGTAGCAGTCCCATAATGCCGTTGGTATGCGGAATGAACCTTGCCTTACAACGTAGGATGATGGGTTAGCTGTGATCTGATTGGGGTCACGCGTTTCAGCGAAATTAGTGAATTGGCCATATGCGGTCGTGCCTCCTATCGAACGAATCAGTCGTCGATTCTCCGGCTGGGTTTAATTCGGACACATGCGCGTTTTTATTCATTCATTGTTTGGTCGCTCAATGCGTCATTGGTCCTTAGAACTAGAAAAGCGGAATTAATAAAGCCCTGCTGGAGACCTAGGCACATCGATAGAGTTTCGAATGCTGATTACGAATATGCAGATTAAAAGTGCTACGGGGACCTCCCAGACGAGTTCTGGGCGGTCAAAGTTTGCGAAATCCCGGTTTTGTCTGATAAGCGCTGGCTGATCGCTCATTGGACAGTGTCACCGTGGCCTAGTGGTAGTGGTCTCGCTTCAAAGTCGTAATATCGTGGGTTTGCATCCCGTTGGCGTGAAAACTTTTGTTTCGTCTCCTAAAAGAGCTTTCACTCTAATTTTCGAAATTGCTCCGAGTTTACGGCTCAGCAGAGCAAGTAGATCAAGTAGATCAAGTATTGACATAATCGATCAAGTATGGATTTGATCGCTATCTGTCCTCTCTGAACTCATTACCCATCCGACAATTCGAAGTTTTGGCCACAGTCACAATTAGGCCAATACTCGTTCTGCAGGTATTTTGCCCCTGAAAACGATTATCATTTCATTGAACGAATATCATTTACTTTTTGGCAAGAAGACGCTTGTAGCCTTTCACTTTGCTGTGATCACCAACTGAACATCAACTGACCGGTCGTTTTCTTGCCGAACGAATATGATATTCGTTTTCAGGGGGTCAAAATACCTGTAAGGAAGCAGTTTTGGCCAAATTGTCGACTGTGGGCCAAAACTTCGAATGTCGATATTAATCGAGTTCCAGCAGAGGACAGATAGCTATCAAATCCATACTTGATCGATACGTCAATACTTGATCTACTTGATCTACTTGCTCTGCTGAGCCGTAAACTCGGAGCAATTTCGAAAATTAGAGTGAAAGCTCTTTTAGGAGACGAAGCAAAAGTTTTCACGCCAACGGGATGCAAACCCACGACATTACGGCTTTGAAGCGAGACCACTACCACTGGGCCACGGTGACAGTGTCCAATGAGCGATCAGCAGCGCTTATGAGACAAAACCGGGATTTCGCAAACTTAGACCGCCCAGAACTCGTCTGGGAGGTCCCCGTAGCACTTTTAATCTGCATATTCGTAATCAGCATTCGAAACTCTATCGATGTGCCTAGGTCTCCATTCAAAGTTCCATGGGAAGTTCAAACCATTCCCTTGTTAGAACCAGAAAAGCGGAATTAATAAAGCCCTGCTGGAGAAGAAGTCTACAGAAACATAGCCGGAGGAAGTGAAGGATAGTCTTTGCCGTCGATCAGTCCCTATTAGGGATGTGGCACGCATCGCACTGCCATTCTGAGTCGCAGCGGCCTAGGCAGTACGGAGCTGGAGGAAGTACCCAAGGTTATGTAGATAGAAGAAAGAAGGTGAAGAATGAAAAAACGAACACGAACTCTCAATGACTGAGTTATCATTCCGAATGCGAATGACTGAATTATCATCTGAATCAGCACACTTCGGTGTTGTTTCTGTTGGTTGTGAGAGCAGAACTGAAGTTCTAAAGTTCATGGGTACTCACTTAAGACCTGCTTCAACACCTTGATTATTTTTTACTTTTTTGAAGTGGGTCTTTACACCAGTCCAACATAGGTTCGCTATCGAAGATGTCGATGTTAAGGTTACGACAGACTTGCTACGACGTCACAGGATGTCCCATTTCTCGTCAGTGATAGTGGGGTGGGGCAGCACAAAAAAGCCGGAAAGGGTTCATATCGTAAGCCGCGATTTTTAACGTGTAATGGGGCTTCGGGTCACTTAGAATCAATTCCTCTTGGGCTGCGGACCTGTACTGGACAGCCGTTGTTCTTTTTATGATGAGTCAATATTCAATGCAGAACAGGGCATGTCCTGCTGCCGTTGGGAAGGATATTTGCAAAATACGACTTCCTTCTCCACAATTTTCTCCTCTGGTGCGGCCGTAAACCCATCCCTCATTCTACCTACCAAAACCTAAATTTCCTCAACTTCCTACCACGTTTCCAGAGTTTTTCTCAAACACTCCCCTTTTCCTGTCGAGCTAGGAAGGAAGGCACTAGAAACAAAAAAAAACAAGAAAAGTCAAGAACGAAAACTTCTCTCGAAGACCATCACGGCTGCTTCGCTGGGGGTTCCCAACGAAACATGCTCTAGTGTAGAACATATTTCTTACTGATTTGTGTTTCGACCAATTCGTAGTTTCAACACCTGGGAACGGCTTTGTAATCCACCTAGCCGATCACCTTATCGTCCTAAGTCACTTGCGACACTTCCAGAGAGACCTCCCCCCACTAATAACAAAGCTTGTTTCATGAAAAGTACCCAGTTTCTAAGAAGATCGGAAGAATAACTGGAATTAGGGCAGGATTTCTCTAGCTTTGTAGGTAAATGTGCAATTTTAAGGCACCAAGGTGTGGACACGCTTGCGAACAATCGACTGATTGTTGAGGATACCGTGAATCGCATACTCTCTGGGAGGGAGTGTATTTATGGCGGTGAAGGCTGGTGGAGATACGAATTTTGTTACGGGAAAACCGTGAGTGCTTCTTCATAACTTATTCATAAGTGACTTTCATACAATATTTTTAATGAAATATCCTGATTTTCTAGGTCTTGCAATACCATCAAGAACCCAACGGTGAACGCACGGAGATACTGTTAGGAACATTTGATGAGAAAGTGCAATCATCTCCGAAAAAGGTTGGTGTCGGTGGTGTGGAATAATGGGTGACATCTGATGTTTGATTAATTTTGCTTTCAGTATAATAATCAAGTTACCCAAATATCCCATCTCTACGTGAAAGGAGATATTTGCCATGAACTAAATGCCCACAGGTATGCTTCTTTTCAATTTTTATTCCTACCCTGAGCCATACCAAAACTTGGTGTTCAGGAACGTGGAGGTTCGATTACGATGTAAAACAGCTGATCATAGCTCGTTAGCCATTTCAATAGCACTTGCTGAGCCAAATATGTGCCAGTATATACTCACATTGGAAAGCGAGAGGTAAGCTGGAACTTGATTGTTGATCAATTAAATGTTCGAATTGAAACCATCCATCTGGCACAAAAATCCTTAGTTTTTCCTCTGATGTTCCTCATTGCCCAGAGTCGAAGTAACCTTTTCAGACTTTGTAAAATTCCTACATCTTCAGTCCCAGTGATCATAGAATTCTTGAAAGCAATCTCTCCACTTGCTCTGTCGCAAGCCAGGGAATTCACTTTTTCTGAGGGCCACGAAATCATTCGTCCTCCCCATGCTCATATGAAAAAGTGACCATGCGTCGGCGGTCGTCCTGATAGAGAAAGAGAGAGAGAGAGAGAAGAGAGAGAGAGAGAGAGAGAAACTCATAGGCGGCGCGCACGCGGCGCGTGCCTAGCAATGTCGCTACGATGGTGCGGCACAGGACTGGACACTGACAAGCACTACCATTACTGCAGTTCGATAGATTAGCTATTTATCAGCCCATATTCGTTTCCAGGAGAGTCGGGCGCTAAATACAATGGGTAATCACAGTGAATCAACTGGTCTTCGATTTCTCAGCAGATGCGGCAGCGTCCCTGTTTTTCGATCATCCACGCAGTGCGGGACTCCGGTTGGCCTGTACCATGTGCGTGTAGGCTTCTCTCATGCTCCGCCCCTCCATCAGCGCTGTAATGCTGACTTGCGTGCTCGTTCTGCCTTCCTCCACATCCCATTCCCTCAGGCATAATTGTTGAGCAAACCTCGCCCATTTCGGCACAGAAGAGAGGGTGGGCCGTTTGCCACTCCGACCGTCGAGAAAGCGCTCATGAGCAAGACAAGAGTTGGGTTATAACACAGTGCTAACGAAGCTTGCTCCAGCTTCATCAGGTCACCGGTTTCAACCAGCGAAACTTGTGAACCGAACTAGTGAAGCCGAATAGTAAACATGCCCCCCCCCCTCGCCACGAAAATGTTAAAGAAATTAATACTAAACTTGGCGCGCCGCCAAAACAGCGCCAGCTTCCATTAATTCTTAGCATTTTCATAAAATAAAGATTTATAATAGCTGAAGTACTGAATTACAATTTTTGCTTCCCGATAACAACATGTCACTCTCATGAAAAGGTGCACTTGTTACAGAAAAGCCCCCTGGTACTCAAATGGCTGATCTGCGATCATGCTAAGCGTCCCCACTCTTATGCTGTGGCACCCTGTGACTCTGTGTTGAGCGGGTAAAAAGTATACTTGCAGTTTGCAACCCTACAGTACGCTGATGAATACGGTCTGATTGCACTGGAACCGCAAGAGGACTCACCACAAAAAGCGCCTGGTCCTATATGAAAACTCGTCCCTCAGTTAAACTTAGTATTTGTCCATCAAAAACGGGGTATTGCAGTTTTATGAACTTTTTTGCACATACTCATATGTCCATTTCAATAAAATATTAATATAACACCACAACAATCAGACAAGAAACTGAGAATCTCAAACATTCAAATATACAAGGTAAAATGTCTAGACAAAGCTACTTCTATTTTTCTACCCATGTCACATCCAGCAGCGGTATCGAGCACGCGCAAACTGCAAGCCGACTCCAATCGACAACGCATCCATTTTCCCTTTTAACGGAGATTACAAGAAGTGCATGTCAAAAGTTTGGTTGACTGTAATAACATAATTAGACAAGCAGCGCTGTCTTAAAATGGCCATAGGATATGCAACCCCAAATACCTTCCGACTACCAATACGTGGTTTCGTGGTTGCTGCGCTTGATTGCCAACCTCGGCGGAAATCTCGTCTTCGAATGAGGTCATTCGGGCATATACTTCTCAGACCAGAGCAGACCGGGTATTCTCCTCCATTCTGAAAAAGGAAACTACTGGAACTCCATGAAAAATGAAGGCAGACAATCAAAATTTAGAGAAACAAAATCGCGGAAGCACAAAATTGTTGGTGTTTATTTCATTAATTTCCCAGCTAGGCCTGAAGTGTGTGGCAACGCACGCGTTACCCACATCAGGTCCGGGTTGAATCTCAGATCCGGCGCCCAAGCTAACCAGGCCTTCTACCCTCGAGCAACGGTGAACTGGTACCAGATCCGTCCGGGAAAATGAGAACACTGATTTGTACATCGACTGGCCCTCAAGTCATTGTATAGGCCACATCACAATCAATAAGCTCTGCGATTCTTAAGGTAGCGGCAGAAGGATGTGTGCCCCATCCCACATAGGGATTGATCAGCGGTGAAGACTTCATTCTCGACTTACAGCCTCAATTGCAAGTGTTTTATACTGTGTTCCTTTGAATTTCCTGTTAGCTTTTTTCAAATTTAGCTATTAGGTCCCAAGGCGCAGTTCGGCGTTGTGGGGCATTTTAGGGTTCACGTATCACTGCCTAATTTGCTGTGCAAAACCAGGAGCTTCGTTTACACTTGGCAAGGGTTTACAGGTTTCATCAATATGAAACGTAACTCAACTGGAACTTGCAAGAGAGACTAGCGAACGTGTAAAATACAACCCCCTCCTTTAAAAAAAACAAGGGAAAACGGCGCCCGTCCTTACTAGTGTGCCAGTTCTAGGATAACACTTACCAATGTACTTCTCTGGTAAGAGATACTCATAAGTAACTCTTGCTTGACTAGGAACTGGAATTTCGAAGCCAGATCGTAACGAGATACGAATGTATTCATCACCAGCGTCATTCAGCACCCACCTATAAGTTGGGAGTAACTACCTGTCACATAAGTGAAAATCAAGAAAAAAGGGCGTACTTCGCATCACAGGGCTCGTTATCATTAGGATCAACCAGTTTTACATGTCCCTTTTCAACATTCAATGGCTGCTCATTCCATCTGAAAAACGCACCATATAAGTTCTATAAAAAACTAACACCCTAACTATGGAGGACAGGGAACGTGTGAAATGACAGTGTCATTACAACCGCTGACCCGAAAGAGGACGACCTCTAACCCATTCGCCTTTTACACAAAACTTCCTCAAAATTTGCTCCGCACTTCGGCTTAGTGGGGGCACCAGATGGCACTGAGCGAAAATTATGCGAGCCAATTTGTCAAAATTTGTAAATGTACCACTCCTCAGGTTCACATCTTACAGGTAACACCGAAATGAGAACTGCCTGTTGAGAGGAACTGGCAAAAGGAACTAACGAATGTGCAAAATGACCTGCAAGAGCAGCAATCTATGGATTATCAACAAAACTGAACATTCCCAGATCTTCACGTCCCCTCCTCCGCATGAGATTCTTCCAGAAATGATACACAGTGTGACCACAGTGAAAGGGTAGCTACGTCGAACTCAGGAACAATCCTTCCCTAATCAGAAATTACTGCGCTACAAACTGCACTAATAACTATGGGAAAAGAAAGCACACGCACACGAAAAGAAACAACCTACATCAGCACT